TCTTAATATGTTGATTCTTTTCCTTCTAATGTTAATAGTAGATGAACATTTCTGTATTACCAAGGAAATCTATGCCATGAAAGTAATATGGCCTATTAAGGAAAAACCCAAAGAATTGTTTCTTGGCAACAAAAGAACATGGAATGCCTCAATCTTGAGATATGTCAGGTTTCTCTAGAAATCCTGGAAACCAAGCCCAGAAACTAGCCCCTTATAATTCACATAACTGAAAATAGCTTGAGCGATAATATAGCAATCTCCATGGAGCCTATATTTCTCCAGGCCGAATCTGTTTGATTAAAAGAAGTTCAGATTACTTCAATATAATTTAATTTGAAAAGTTTTCTTTCACTTCAATCGCCTTCATTTCTTCAGTAAAAACAGTTCCCAGAAAAAAGGTCCAAACCGCTTAAGAAAATCTACATTCAAAGAAGGAGCAAAAATGGCGCTTTCCTGGCCCTTATTCCTAGCAAGCAAATGAAAACGTCGGTTACAACTTCATTTCTAGTCTGTTTTTTTAACATACAAGCTAATTTATGCCAATGATGACCAACGAGGCTATGACCAAAATGCCTCCAGTCAAGAAAATCTGATAAATCCAGCCTGGCAAATGGGCCACTAAATTTCAATTCACAATATGCTTCACAAAGAGACTCTAGAATCTTGCTAATTTTCAAGCAAAATATAGAAACTGAAGGCTTTTTTTTTTTATCATTTTAGTTAGAAAAGTTAGAACTTTGAACTCCATTCACACCTTGTCTCAGCCACAACCATGAATTGCACCATTCTAGAATCCACTTATCAGATAAGCACTCAAACCCGAGAGCTGCAACAGTTTTCTTCCTAAGAAAAGTAGGGAAAATAAACTATTTATTTCCCCATGGTAAATGAGAATAGCTCCTTTTCACACCTTTAATATTCATTCGTACTTAATCTATGGTACATAGTTCAAAGAAATTTCTACATTAAGTATTAGGAATAAAGTAGTGGGGTTTCCATTTATATTATTATATAATAATAAGAAATTATGGTAATGCAAGAGAAAGTCCCCTTTCAGGTGGGATGGGATGAATCTGGCCAATATTTCAACAAATCTCTTACATGGTGCTTTATATTTTGATAGATTAAATTATTTGAATTTAAAAACTGGATTAAGATTCTTGTTGGTCTATTCGGTTTTTTGAGCTTTGATCTAAACCAACCTGTCAAATCATATCCATGGAGCTACCGTTTCCTTGCTTGGAGGCTATAAACAAACATTAATCACACTGCAGTCCAATGCAGAGTTGTTTTGGTTTATATACGTGTATAAATTGGGTGCATAAAAAGTGAATCAGATTCATTGAATTGGCCTTGGAAATTGCATTTTTTCAAATTTTCAACTTTGATTCAAAACAGATTAATCTGGAATTACTAGGGAAAATTTAAAGGAAATTGTTTATATGAAATTGATGAATATTTTTTATTAGAAATAGTTAAATTAAAATTAAAATTGATAAATTAAAAAATTTTGTTACATAAATTAAGTATTTAAAATTTAAAAAAAAATTTAATAAATTTATATATATTTTTAAATAAATATTTTTTATAAAAATATTGATAAAATTTTTATCATTGAATAAATATCAATCAAATTTAAATTATAAATAATATTTTTTATAAATTTTTTATATATTATTGTTTTCACATCAAATTCTATCAATTTATTGATTTTGATTTTTTATTAAAGTTTTTATTAAATAATTTCTAAAAAAAATTTTACAAACTTCACCTAAGATATTTCATGTAACTTTTGTTCAAATTACTAAGCCTCTTTCATTGAATTTAATAGCCATGTCAAATAATAATTGAATTAGATTATTATCAAAGCTTATAAATTTAATTAAAAAATTAATTAATAAAAAAAGATTAAAATATTTTATAAAAGAAAATTTAGTTATTTTTATTTAATGTGAAACAAAAAATAAAATGAGAGCTCATCTTTCTTATCTTTCTCATCTTTGTTGGGGTTAGAAGCTTGAAAAATTAAGTTAGGGATTCAAAATTACTGGCAGTAATCGAATTAATCTCCTAAATGTGATTATGCACCTTTTTTTTTTAATTTAAAAAAAATATCATGTTATTTGTTATTATTTGTAGTTTAATCTTATGAAAGAAAAACAAAAAAAATTATGAAATCTTTTATTAATTTTCATGATCTATTTGGATAAACTATTTGACCTAATTTTCTTTATGTTATTAAGATTTAATTATAATTATTGAGTAGATTTTAAAGGCTAAAAGTGAGGATTTGGATTTTTAAAAATTCGAAGAGAAATGTTATTTTTAGATAAGATATTATTATCTATAACAGTGGATTAAATAAAATTTTGTATTAAGAGATAAAATATTAAGAAATAAAATATTACTATAAGTATTATGTATCGTTGGAAAGTTTGTTAAATATACTTTCCAACGAAACAAATGAAAATCGATTTTGAGTTTTTTTATGAATAGTTGTTTAATTTTTATTTAAGGATATATAATATGAAGGAATTATGAAAATTCTCTTAATTTTTATGCAATGAATTACAAATTGAGCCATATACATTTAGAAAGCTTGTAGAGTCTACTTTTCACAAAAGAAGCATAACTAAATTTTGAGTCTCTTATAAATAAATATTTAAATTTTATTAGAAGACATACATATTATCTAGGAGCAGTATATGATGTGGATTGCAAAAATTATTACAATTAATATACAAAGAATTAAGAGGTGGACCATATATAGTTAGAAATCTTATCGAGTCTATTTTTTAATAACTCATTAAAAATATCTTAATTTTGAGTTGTATATCTTAAGATATGACCATTTTAGTTAAAGGAGCTCAAGCTGCTAACATTAATTAGTTGTGTTAACTCTTATATAATTTAGTTGTTTTAGTATAAATAATCTCTAAAAAGATTAAATAATTTTTTATATGTTAAAATGACCTTGAAAAGACTATTAATTATTTTGAAAAAAAAAATGTTGGAATAGAAAATAGTTAAGTATCTCTCACATTTTTCTTGTTTTTGAACTTATGTATATGTGTATACTTTTAATGATTGAAAGTTTATTTTTTTATTTTCGATATATGAAAATAAGACCAAACATTTGTTTATTTTGTGTTTTGCTATATAAATGAGGGATCATACTTATAAATGAAATGAGAAATTAATTTATGCTTAAAGAATAATTTTATAATAGTTACGAATAAATTTTTATAAGTGGGATCATCAACACCAAAATTAGTTTTACGACCATGGCTAATAAGTTATAGTAGTAGAATAAGGTATTAGCTAACTGGTTATAATAGTTAACAATAATTATGATGATGAAATTGTTGATACAATCCTTGTCACAGGTTATAGTAGTAATCGTAGTTGATAATGAACTAATGATAAAGATGATTTATGATGATGAATTTATGATTTTGAAAATTGATTCATGATTTGTATAAAGTATTAATTTGATCATAATTTATGATTTATAATTGATGAAATGATATATTTTGATATGATATCAATCATTTGAATGCTTACTTAAAGGATTTAGAAGCATAATTTAAATGATATTTTTTAATGATTTATATATGTATAAAAAAGATACTTGATCTAATAAGGTATATGAGTTTATACTGACTAAGCTATGGTTTACTTATTTCCTTTTTATTTTCTCTTTACAGACGAGTAAGTGATGAGTTTATCTAATATTGTAAAAAGCTAAAAGATCAAATTAAAAAGATTACTTAATTATTAGAGAAATTATTGACAAATGAAATCTTTAAAATAATTTTGTATTTTTATTAATTTACATTTAGATATATGAAGATTTATCATCAATTAATTGAAAATTTTTATAATGATTAAAAAAAATTTCATAATATTTTAAGATCTCACTTGAAAGTGATATGATTAAATTACATATCGAATGTAGCATCAAATATAGTTAAAACGTAAAAGAGGTCAATGATTATTTCTAACTTTATTATTAGTCATTAACCATGTACTCATCTTATCAATGTTAAGCATCAAGCAAAATTAGATAACAACTAGCAATTACATGGTAAGGTAAAAAGCTTAGAGATAGGAATGAATCTAGCCTTTTTGGAGTACTTGAGCAAGAAGAATCTATTCTAATTCACGATAGGTTGCTCTTTTAAGCAAACCTCGTTGTAAATCAGCCACTGTGTCTCCATTCTTATCATAAAACCTTGTTGTTAAAGTTTGATAAGATCAGTAAAGTTGACAAGAGGCTATACTACTACATTGTTGAGGCAATTTAAATCTTGAATTGGCTAAATGCATGGAACAGAAGCAGTTGCAACAACTTGAGTTTACTTATAAAGTGATTTATAGCTGAATTAATGCATATACATATGTTCATGTTCGTGACAATATTATGTTGTTTTATTATCTTGATGAACACATTCAATGGGTAGGACACCCAACAATGTACTAGTGTTAAGAGAAAATCCTCTGCCAAATATAGAATTGTAATGGAGCCCTACCCGAGATTCCAAAACAAATAAAGACAGGAAAACGGTGGCTTCAGGTATTAGGTAGCTGAAGATAAATAATTTTGAGAGAAAATATCAGAGGCCAACAGTTAGGTTTAGTATCACGGAAGATTTTCAAAAAATGACTTGAGCTTCGTCACATAAAGAAATTTCGTTGATTTTCAATAAATTGGGTCATTGTCATGGGACAACGCATCCCACCAATCCCCACGTTCACGATGCTAAGACAACTTTGCGTTCCCACTTGACTGAAAGCAGGGTCAAATCTCTTGCGCGTCAAGTAATTTCGTTGATAAGGCCTTTCGGCCTGTCTCCCAAAACAGTCCATTAATGATAGGTTTCGCCCTTGACTCCAGTGTCTGTTAAATCTGTCTTAAACGGTGAGTACAAGTTGGCGGCTTGCTCTGTCATTACTGTACTTTCCTAGAAGGTTCACTCAAAAAGCTTAATAGCTTAATCTTTATATGTGAAGAGCGTCCTCGGTGTTGTTTCTACAAACTATGGAATTATCGAGGTTCTCTGCTATACTCTTTGACCACTTTTCTCTTCAGTTTTAGTTCTTTCAATTCTTTCATTTATATCTCTTCAATCCTTGTTCAGCCAATTAGATTCTTTCCTATCTTGAAATATTCATTTTCTCTTCTAGTTTTCCTCAAGATTCTTGGCAATCAATAAGAGGGTAGGTCAGTTTTTAGGTTTATTTCAATCCTATTTCAGTCAGGTCTTTTTATATCAGGTAAGTTTCTAACTTGCGATGGATACCCTTTTCAAAGATTTTCCTAGTTCCATGTATGGGTTGAAATTTGATCATGTCTCAGTGCCAGTGCATTCAAATCACATCCTTGCTAAGGGGTTTATAGAGAGTCCTGAGCAAATTGTTCCAAGTCCACCTTCCATTCCTACAAGTCCAGAGTCTCCTGTTGATTCAGCTTCATCATCAGGCATGAGTTCAGACGGACATCCCCTTGACAATGTTCCTTTTGCCAATGAAATGCTCAAGTACATCAATGAGATGCTAATGGAAGAAGACCTGGAGGAAAAGACCTGCATGTTGCAGGATTGCTTAGCTCTCCAAGCTGCTGAAAAGTCGTTTTATGAAGTCCTTGGCCACGAGTATCCACTTTCAGCCGATTCTATCTCTGCATGTACGGGTAAAAATTATTATAACCCAGATGATAATCTTACCCACAGCAGAAGTATTGGTAGCAGTGACAGCTATACAACAGCTACCAACTCGGCCGAACCGAGTAGGATATATAGTCCAGATGAATTCAACTCCTCTTACATTCAAACCTCTCTTATCGATTCTCTTGAAAGAACTTCTTTATTTCCTGATTTACAAATAGAGACCACGATAGAACCTTTTAGACACTTCGGAAGAGACGTTGGGAAAGCTAGTACGTCCCCTCTCAATGATGATAAGGTGCTTTTGGCTCCAGAAAGCAACCAGCTATCAAGGCTTTCTGTTCCTGATGTAAGGTATCAATCACCATCAAGGTCAAGGGGAAGAAAAAGTTATCAGCGTGAGGATGGTGATTATTTGGAAGAAGGTAGAAGCAACAAACAATCTGCGCTTTCTCTTGAAGATTCAGAGCAGTCAGAGATGTTCGACGAGGTACTGCTTTGCAAAGGTGAAAATGAGGACTCTACGATAGGTTCTCTTAATGGGAACTCGCAGCAGAATGGGCTTCTAAAAGGGTCTGTTAATGGTCGAACAACACGCAGGAAGAAAAACGGCAAGAAAAGTGAAGTGGTGGATTTGTGGAGTTTCCTTATTCAATGCGCACAAGCTGTGGCCAACAATGACCAAAGGACTGCCAATGTGCTGCTGAAACAGATAAGTCAGCACTCTTCTGCTTCTGGAGATGGAACCCAAAGATTGGCACATTACTTTGCTAATGCCCTTAAGACACGTTTGGCTGGCATGGGGGCACCATCGTATTCAACTCTGCTAAGCAATCGGACCTCGGCTGCTGAAATCCTAAAAGCTTACAGAGTTTATGTTTTAGCTTGCCCCTTTAAGAAAATGTCAAATTTCTATGCAAATAAAAAGATAATGGAAGTGGCAGAAAAGGCAACCACGCTCCACATCGTTGATTTTGGCATTTGCTATGGGTTTCAATGGCCTTGCCTCATCCAGCGTCTCTCAGCAAGGGCTGGTGGACCTCCCAAGCTTCGGATTACCGGAATTGAGTTTCCGCAACCTGGTTTCCGGCCTGCAGAAAGGGTGGAGGAGACGGGACGTCGCTTGAAAAGGTATTGTGAGAGATTCAATGTCCCATTTGAGTACAACGTGATAGCAAAGAAATGGGAAACCATCCAACTTCAGGAACTAAAGATTAAAGAAGATGAAGCGGTGGTTGTTAACTGCATGCATCGGCTAAAGAACCTCCCAGATGACACAGTGGCGCCAACCAGTGCAAGGGACACTGTACTGAAATTGATCAGAAGCATCAACCCAGAATTATTCATCCTTGTGACCGCAAACGGGACATACAACGCTCCCTTTTTCGTCACAAGGTTCCGGGAGGCACTCTTTCATTTCTCTGCTCAGTTCGATATATTTGAAGCTAATGTTTCCCGGGAAGATCCACAAAGGATGATGTTTGAGAAGGAAGTACTTGGGAAGGACATTATGAATGTTGTTGCATGCGAGGGTAGTGAGAGGGTAGAAAGGCCAGAGGCGTATAAACAATGGCAGGCTAGGATACTGAGGGCAGGGTTCAAGCAGGTCTCATTGGATCAGGAGCACTTGAAGAAAGTGATGAATATGGTCCAATCTAGTTATCATAGGGATTTTGCTGTAGATGTGGATGGCCGCTGGATGCTGCAGGGATGGAAGGGGAGAGTTATTTATGCCCTTTCATGTTGGAAACCTGTCAGGAATTAACTGTGATGATCGCAGATTAGTTTCTTTTGGCCTATTACTTACATTATTTGGTGTAGTTGTAAAATATCAAATTCCTAGTCCTAGAAGTAAAGGTTGCATGTGATGTATGTTAAAAGAGCTCATTAGTCATTAGCTCCAACGTGCTTTAAAATGATATCAATTGCAATCACAACAAGCTTGTAGATAACAAATGCTTTGCTTTCTTTTTTCATTTCCCTTGTTTGGACGCAGGGGAGAAGTGTCCTCCCGGGGATTGGCTAGAAGCAGTGTTTCAACTTTCAAATAAAGCATTCCGAAAGGTCCCTGGAACAAAATTTTGCAATATTGAGGAAACCATGTCATTTCTCACTGTAACCTTCCGTGACATTAGCATTACTGTTTGTGATCATTACCCATAAATCAGATATATACTCGGGACAGAGGCCAAGTCAAGGGTGCAACAATAGTAAGGGGAATCAAGATGCAAGTACAGAAAGAGTAACTTACGTTAAATGAACAAATTTGAAAGTTAAGAAAGCTGAGCTTCGATAATATGACAACAAAGTTACATATTCAATTTAAGGAACCTGAAAAGAAATATTAATGGCCTCACAGTGGTGAACACAATTTCCTAATTATCATCACCTATTAGACTTTGGTGGCCTGAGAACATTCCAGTCCAGCTTCTCACGCTTTGACTGCTTTTTGGAGGAGGCTTTACTGCTGCTCGGTGACGATTGAACTCCATGACCATTTTTGGGTGATTTATTTGGATACTCAGGTTCAGAAACTATGTCAGACTGTTTCCTCTTAAGGTCTCCATTACCTTCATATTTATCTGTACCGACTTTTGGGAGGTCAGCTGCTTCAGATGCAGATCTATTTTCACTGTCGCAATTCAAGGACAAAAAAGATTAAAAAAATGTATCTTGTGCATACATGTGCTCAATTCAACTTACCCTACCACTGAACTAAAGCGACATGTGACTAGCATTTCCATCTAAACATTCCCATATTTCTTCCGGTGCAGGCCCCCTACTAATATTAAATGTTGGATTTTCCTTTCAGGAGTAAACCAATTTGATTAAATCTTTCATTTCTTAAGACTATTTTATAATTCCAACACAAACAACATAATTATTTTCAAAAACTTTCAGGAAATTACCAGAAAATTAACACAAGATCTGTGAAAATTAAAAAAAAAAAAAAAAAAAAAACTCACCCAGACAACATTCTTCCACCAGAGGCATCCAGCCGCGACACATTTGATACTTCTTCATTCAGTTTCTACCAATACAAGGCTTTCATATGAGGGCTGAAGCCACGAGAATCACAGAAGGTGAATAGTCATTGGGAAAATTTCTTAGGTCACTTGACCTTTATACTCACATCAATAGAAGGATTGAAACTCTGAAATGACATCCGTCCAACAATTGCTCCTGGATGGGGATCCCCTTCCATAATGACCATACTGAATGCATGCAAACAGACAATAAGGATTAAACAAATCAAAATTGGGAAAGATTCAGAAGCAAATGACCAGATCTCACAGGTAGTTACATCCTAGCAAATTTATTTACTGAGGATCCCTCCTTTAATTCTACACACACAAAATTCTGCTTTCTGCAGACTGAGGGGAATCAAGATTGATCACTAGACACTGAAGGCAGCAATTGGAAATAATCTCCTAACCCTTACATTATTCTTTGAATGCTAAACAATATCCCAAAGCCCCATTGCTCTATTTCAATGATCAGCATTGCAAGAATTTTCAACTCCCAGGAAACAAAAGGCATACCGGTGTTCTTTCTCTACCACCTTTAAGTATAAGTTCAAGGATCAAATAAAGTATAGCCTAGCCACATCTTTGTCCTCATGAGTGAAATCAAACAATCATATTGGATGCGGAATAACCTCCATATCATAACTAAATCTAAACAAGCACTGAAGAAAGAAGAATGTTTAATACAGTTCACAGATTTAAAATAATTCAGAAAAGAGGTGGAAATTTTCGTACCATTTTCTAGTAATAGTACTACTCTCTTCAGGTTTAACCTCCTCTTCTTTCTCAACTTTCTCCTCTCTCTGAGCTGCCCTTTGCATGAACTATTATAGCATTAAATAAAATAGAAAAAAAACTCATATAAGTTAAAGATTCAATATTTTGTCAACTTGAAAAAGTAAATCAACAAAACAAAAGAAACCCACATGAATTAACACAAAGCCTAGTTCAAATCTCAATAGTCATACAAAGAACTGAAGAATCTATATAACCAAAAAATTACAAATTCAATGGAAAATCAACAAAATAATAAATACCCAGACAAATTAAAGCAAAAATCAACGCAAATCTCAAGTTGGTACAGAATAATTCAAGCATAAAACACAACTAATAAGAGAGAATAAGCTTTTGTTCAGTAAGTTTACCTTCAAGCCCCTCAAAGTATTGGAGAGTTCTCGCTTCGACATTTTAGCCCCCAAGCTTTCCTCCAATATCGAATAAAGAACCTTGAATTACAAATAACTGAATCACTTGTGTGGTTATTTTCTCTCTTGTATTGTTGCAAAGAGAGAAAGATTCAGTCTTTTCTCTTTTGAAAGAGGGAAAACGATGGATTAGGGGAACACAATTTTGTTTGTGTTCTGTTTTGTAATTTGGGGCCGCCAATTGCTCTTTTATGGGCTGACTAATACAAACTTTAAGTTACAGCCCAAATGGGCCCAATTTACATAAGTCCAAAGTGAGGCCCACTAAGCCCTACCCTTGCAATGGGCAAATTACTGTCTGTGGTCCATATTTCTTTGATATTTCAAATAGCCCATTTTTGTGGGCTGATGCTTAGGCCCTTGCCTAAAAGGGTCCAAAAACTTTTTTAGGGTTTTGCTTGTATATATTTAACCAATTATGTTCAGATTGATTCAAATTTTGGTGTGGCCATAGGGCACTTGAAGCCTGAAGGGTTAAAATGTGAAGGGTACAAGAGATGCCTTTTTGCCCTAACATGTGTTCTATCACGTTAGTGCCTTTGTTTTGCTCCTTGATGCTTTTAAAAGTAAACCAGATTAATCAGATATTAACAATAATAAATGGTATAATTTCCATAGAAAAGACCAATTTTATTAAATAAGATATTATAATGTTATTTCTAAGATCAACTTTGTGACATGTTACAAAAAGAGTGGGTGAATGTCCAACAAATACAAAGATTTAAGGTCAACGAGCTATGCTCTAACTGTTGTCTCGACAGAAACCTTCCCAGAATAACTGATGTCTTCAGCCTTCTCATCTGCCTCCCAGAGCTCTGGCAATGCTTCCCTGATATTGTGAATGCTCTCTAATGCATAATCCACGTCGTCAGTTCCGTGAGAAGTTCCCACCTATATGCGTATCATGGGAAACTAGTGAGTAAAACATTCTCAAACCAATGAAGGAATGGCAAAACCAAAAGGAAAAAATCACCAGGCAGCAATTTATTTTTTTTTTGAATTCGATATTTAGTAGCTTACCCACACGGTGTGAAGGCCCATATTTTTACCACTCTGTAGATTGCGGATGCTGTCATCGAAGAACAACTGCTAAAAAAGACATTATAACATCCACAGGAGTTATGAAAATCATCCGAAAGTTCAGAGACTCAATGCATAGTCTGAAAAGTAAAAGGATTGATTAATTTACCGTTTTCTGGGGGTTGATGTTGGCAATCTCAAAAGCTTGTTCAAATGCTTTTTCAAATGGTTTGCAGACAACGGGAGAACTTGGAAGTTCAAGCTCAGAATCAGGACAAGCACTGTAGTTACTGATGTCAAAAATTGCAATGTTTGAGATGAAGCCATCAGCAGAAGTGTTGTTTTTGTTTGTGGGATTCAGAGTCTCAAAGCATATAATCCGTTCAAAGCAGTCCTCCAAGCCCAACCTGTTAAGCACCCTGGCGGTATGGTTCTTATCTGCATTCGTGAAAATCTGTAAACAAGCCCAGAACATAGTCACAAGAGTGGCTCTAAATGATCACAAATGGCAATTCATAAGAAGAACTAGGATCTTACAACTTTTCGAACAGGCAGGCTAAGCAAGAGATTCCTTAAAACAAGGTCAGGTTTTAGCATTGTATAGGGCAATCTCCCATGAACAAAACTGAAATACATGAATAAGTTAGAAACGTATATCATATATATAAAATCATCAACAGATAAAACATGAATAGGAGAAAAATCAGTACCTATGAAAATCATCATATTCAAAGTTGTAGCCAATAGCCTGGAGATAAAAAAGGAAAATCCCTGTCATCTTTCTATTGTTTAAACATTCTCAAAGGAGAATCATACTCAAAAGAATGTTATGATGGATTTCACCTTTAAACCAGCCATTGTTGTGCCATAATACTTGTACAGTGATACACATAATTCAGGAACTTTTTCCTCTATTCCAAGCTTCTTAATCATATATTCTAGGTATCCGAGAAAAAAAAAAGGTAATGAATTTCACGAGGAAACTAACAATTTGTCAAAATAATGGGGACCCTACAAGGGAAACAGTAACAATACCTTGAATGTTCTTGGTAACTTCCCCTGACAAACCAGAAGTCAGAGGATAAAGAGTGTCATCTAGATCTATAAGTTTTTTAAAAATGTTTTACACCAAAAAGAAAAAAGAAAAAATTACAATGGTTAGCTTTAAAAAGTTCACATTTTTTTATATATTAAGAGATGTATATTCATTAAAGAAAGATAGGAAATTTACCAAATAAGAGACATTCGTATTTTGGGTCAATGGCCTGGTTGATCTGGCCTTCATATTCCATTTTCTATCTTCAAAAAAGTTATGCTAAGAAAACTATCGAATCTTCTATCAGTTCAAGTATAATAAAAAAACAAAGATAAAAAGAAATTTCAATTAATGAAACAGAACTCAAATTCCGGTAAAGATTTCATTGTTGTCTTAAATATCCAGAGACAGAACGCATTGAAACATCAAACGAAAACACTAACCCAAGAGAAAAAAAAAAAAAAAAGAAATCTTAACCGACATGAAATAACAAATGTAGTATCAAACAAACCCAAAACTCAAAAACAAAAATAAAGGTACAAAATGAAGAAGAAAACATGTAAGGAATCGAACAATACCAGATCAGAAGTAACCAACACTGTAAGAAAAAGAGAGAGAAAGAGAGAAGAAAAGGATAGAGAGAATGGTGGTTAAGAAGGCATCAAATAGAGGTAAAATTGTTTGAAGGAGCGTTTGGAGAAAGAAACTGAGAAGAGAGAAGAGAAGTAACGGTCCAGAAGGAACTGACAAAAGTAGGGAGCTGACGTGGTCCAATGAAAAAACACGACAAGTTGAGGACTTCGACGCGTCCTAATAAGGTCGAACTAAAGATGCGTTGATGGCGACACGTGTGGAATTACCGAACACGGTTAGCCACATAAATCACCTATGAGCATTCTTCTTTGGATTGCTTTTTTCTCAAGCGGAGGGGAGATTTTCAGAGTTATAATGGAAGGTTTCAGTCAAATATTTATATTGGATTTTCGTATTATGTTTGTTGAATTGCATTTAACATGTAAATTAAAGTTAAAATTATGAATGAAATCTCCTTATAATAATATTGTTGTCATAAACATTATCAAGTGAGATATGTATGTCCAAATTGCTGACACTGAATCAAGAAATAAAGATTTCTTTTTATTAATGATGATTATGGTGAAAGATACAAATTCTACATAATGAAATTTCGGTTTTGACATTTTGTTGTCGAGGCAGCAGCTGGGTTTGAGTGATCATCAGCTAGGCCATCACTGATGTCCGGATTGCAACCTTTCCAGAATACCTGATGCCTTCTGATTTCTTAGTATCTGATTCCCACAGCTCTGGCAGTGCTTCCCTAATGTTGTGTATGCTCTCTAATGCATAATCTGCTCCATTTGTTCTATGGGAAGTGCCCACCTACATTGGATATGAACAAAAAAATCAAATCCTCAGATCTGCAAGAATCACAAATACAAGTCTTCCCTGCAATTTTCTCTATACATGTTTTAAAATATGTGAATTATATCAACTTACCAACACAGTGTGGAGACCTATTTGTTTTCCTGTTTGTATGTTGCGGATGCTATCGTCAAAGAAGAGCTGCCACAAGCAAGAAAGAGTTGTTAGAATTCGAACAAAGAAAATATTACAGGCACTGGGTATATAAATGATCATCAGAATCTTGTTTCATAATCCTAAAGACCATAGATGAAAGCTAAATATGTAGCAGCTGATTATTGTAAAGTGACTGGAAAAGATTTGATTATCTTACTGTTTTTTGAGGGTTGATGTTAGCTATCTTGAAGGCTTGTCCAAATGCATTTTCAAATGGTTTGCAGATAATTGGAGTCTCTGGAAGTGCTGATTGGCAAGGGAAATTGGTGGCATCAAGAATTTCAGTACTTAAGCCTCTCAACTGGAAGCTGTGTTCATCATCTGAAGTGTTGCTTCCGTTAGTGGGATTAAGGGTCTCAAAGCTTATAACTCTTTCAAAGCAATCCTCCAAGCCAAGTTTCCTTAGAACTTTAGCCACATGGACCTTATCCCCATTTGAGAATATCTGTTTCAGAAGGAGAGGGAAAAAAAATTTTCAATCGTGAATGGTGATCACATTGCGTATTGGCCTTGTTTCAGGACAGAAAAAACTTACAACTTTGCGAATTGGCAAGCTAAGCAGAAGACTCCTCAAAACAGGATCAGGTTTCAGGTTCTCATAAGGTAATCTCCCATGAACAAAACTGTGGTACTCATCATAGTCAAAATTGTAGCCGACAGCCTGCATGTGAAGAAACAAAATAAAATTAATATACAGTCATCATAGTTTTGGAACCTTTATAAATTATAATCAACTGAAGAAGAATAAGACCTTACCCTGAGACCAGCCATTGATGTCCCATAATTCTTGTATAGGACACGATTAATCTCTGAGACTTTGTTTCCTTCTATTCCAAGCTTTTGAATCATAAATTCTGCATAATGGAATGCAGAAAGAATATATGATATGTCTATTGAAGAGAGAAGGGGAAAAGATAAAAAGATATCCCATTTGCAGTACCTTCAATATTATTGGTGCATGCCTTGGATAAACCAGAACTGAGAGGATAAAGGGTATCATCCACATCTGAAAGTCGATATATTCAGAGATGTTAATAACATATTTCAGTGCTTTCTAGTTTTGAGAAATTCCAAGGATCTGATACTGCAGAAAGACTTACCAAAGAGAAGCCACTCGTATTTTGCTGCTGGAACATGCTGATACTGGTTTTCATACTCCATTTTGAACTGAAAAATGAGAAAATTGTTAATGTTAGAACTGATTTTTTTGTTATCTCACCAACATAGGCTACTCTATCAGCATCAAAAGCATAGTATTGTGAAATAGCATTTTCTCAGATAGCTTTATTCAACAGGGAGAAAATGGGAGGTAGAAAGAGGAAAAGAAAATTCTTCGGCTGCTGCAAAGGCAAAATTCAATTTGCCCTTCATTTAAATGTATCTGCCTAGATATTTCACAAGAGAGTTTGCTGCAGCAGCTGGCTGCAATCACTACCTCCCACCGCAAAATATTTCCATGGAAACCTTAAAGATTAAAAGTTACAGGTAACAAAAACCCCAGCCCTCCCATAACCTAGGAATAGATATTCACATCCTAACAGAATGACCTCAACCAAACTCATCAGAGATTTTACCACCAAAAAAGAACCATATACCAACCTTAAGAACTAAAGAGCCTGAACTTGATGACAGCTGAACGTAATGAAAAGCAAATAAGCCTAGAACAATTGGCAAGGAGAATAAAAAGTAAGAAGGATCAAGCTATAAGACAAAGACACATGACAAGGGTAGGGATGATAGATTATATAGGGAAAGGGAAGCCATAGAAATAGAAGTATCGTTGAGGAAAGAGATAGGAAAGTCATATGAATCCTGGCGTTTGATTGGGTCCTAAAGTATGAAAACGAGTGTGTGACTAATGACTGCCAACACCTTTTTGACCTTCCAGGACAAATTTGAGGACGAGGACGGTTAGAAAAAGCCGTTCAAGATTCTTTAGTTTTTCTAAGCGTTAGGTACAAATACAACAATTTCCCTGCTACCACAATCCCTCAACTTTTGACAGAAAACAGGAGTTCCTCTTTCAAGTATTGGGTATAATTATGTCATAATTCTTTCTAATAAACTGAGAAACTATTTTCCTTTGAGACAAAATTTGCCAAGAATTGTAAACCTTGGAGTAATTCTCACTGAATTTTGCAAGGAAACTGATTGGCATTTCCATTGTTAGTACCTAACTTAACAACGAAAGCAGAATGTTATGCAGTAAAACAATTCAACACTTCAATTCCATCAATACATCAAAACCTTAATGTGCTTTTCTTTAAATAATTTTGACTGAAAAATGTTTTCATTCATAATAAGCTTATTCCTAATAATGATATTAAAAAAGAGGTTCTTGATTGATGTTAACATCTCCCATATATGAGATTTAAATTTTAATATATACAACTTATTTTATTATTTTTAAAATACTATTACATTCATAACAAATCCGTTTCTCACCCATAAAATAAGTATCACATAATAATTGAGGCATACTTAAAAAAATAGCAGGAAGTGGTTATGACTTATGTAATTAATAAAATATTCCTTCCATCATTTTCTAAATTTAATTTATGGATACATGAGCTATGACAAAATAGTTAAAGCTTCATTTAGAATCCGGGTAGCTATTGATTGGTGGTCAATAAATTAATGAAAATGTGACTTTGACACTTGATCTAGTTTCTACCGTGAACATGGACAAATGAATAAGACCAGGGCTGCTATGACGCTTTAGTCTTTGCATCATTGCATAAATAAAAAAAGTTAAAAAAGAAAAAAAAAAGGGGAATCACTGCTTAAATCATATTTCTGACTAATGAATTGAAATAGCATCAGATAACACTTTTTCTTTTTTTTAATGTTCTTTCTTTTCATGAAAATTTACACGTATCACCTTTTGATGCCATTAGGTAATGAAGAATAAAACAAATTATCTTGACGCCACGGACATTGAGAGAGACCCTATTTAGCAGTATTTCCATGACAAGAGTATTCCATTTGCCACCTTTAACAATGTACAAATGATACATTGTTGCTGATGATGATCAGCGGCGGAAGTTAAGATTTTTATTAAGAGGGGGTCAAGTACATATCTGAGTATACATATTATATTATAAATATGTTTTATTTATAACATTAAGAATAAATTTATTATGAAAGTAAATATTTAATTAGAAGTCTATTTTTATCAATTCATGTTATTTGTCTTTATTTTTTTTTTTTAATCAATTCAAAATAATTAGATAAACCAACTTTTCAATTAATGTTAAGTATTTTTTATAATATAAATTAATTAGATATAGCTTTTCATGAAATATTGGAAGTTTCTAATAAAAATAATATAAAAAAATTTAAAGGTTAAAATAGATACATAAATAAAATTTAATAAATAGATCAATATATTATAACTTAAAGTTTTAAAATTTTCTGATAAATAATCTAATCAAAACTCTTAAATTATAATATGAGTATTAATTTTGATTTTCATTTATGATCTTCATATAACTCGTCTTTAGTTGTGAACTTCATGAATTTTATTTAAGAATTTATATATTTTTTTATTTTATCTTTTATTATTAAAGTATTTAATTTATTTATATTTAAATATTTAACTTAATAATTAGTACTTAATTCTTCAACAAACATAATTAAATCAAGTGTTTAACTTATTTATTGATACAATAAAAAAATCCTAACAGCTTACAAATATATAAAATTTGAAAACTATTATTCATGGACGGTAAATCAACTTACACGAAAATATTTTACACTTTTTAATATTAATTTTAATAAATATAAGTGATAAGATTAAAAAAATTTTTACTTGTCTTTTTATCTCTAAAATCTACTAAAATCCATGGTTCAAAAAATATAAAAATTTTTTAATTTTACACTAAGATAAATTAATCCTTCTTATTATTCACAAATTTTTATTTTTAAATAAGACATTTTAAATGTTAAACCTTAAAAAAAATTGTGATAACTCTTTTTTTTTTATAAAGATTCAATGAGTTAAAAAGTTATAAATAAAAATAATTAAAAATAATTATATTTTAAGATACCATTTATTTATTTTAAAAATATTTTTAAAAAAATCACATACCACCCTGTATATTAAATAACTTTCAAAATTCTTGGGGGAGCCATGGCACCCTCTGGATCTCATGTGGCACCGCCACTGTTGTGCAAGGACAATAAAAAAAGAATTTATTAAGTCAAATGTACATTCCGGATAAGTCGGGACAACCTGAGGATCCAGAGGTGCAGATTCATCATCTTCCACAGTTCCACCCTCAGGTGTGCATGCGCTTGCTATCTTCCTCTACAAAACCTTGCTTAAATCTGTCATAGTTTGTAAGCTCACTCGATTTAAATGGTCTTTCGCCCAAAACTCGAACCAAATCATCTTGATGAAGAATTTCTTTCTCGAGCAACAATTCAGCAATCTCAGCTACTTGATCTTTATGTTCCTCTATAAGTTGCACAGTTTTTTCATATGCATTGGCTACCCATTCTCGCACTTCACCATCTATGATATCCCCCATTTTATTGCTATAGGGCTTGGACATCTCAAACCCATCATCCCTTTGAGGGAAAGAGAGGAGACCTACCTTGTCACTAAAACCATAAACTGCCACCTGGGCATAGGTCATTTTTGTCACCTTTTCCAAGTCATTTTGCGCTCCTGTTGATATATTTCCCAACAAAACCTGAATCATGAAAAAAAAAGTTTCAATATATACACATCATAAATGAAGAAATGGATTTAATTTTCAGTTTCCATGTTTCATAACCAATTTCCAGTTTGTGCCTCGATGATAGAATATTGGGTGAGTAAATAACAACACAAAAACCAATAAGGGATCATTCAAGTAACTATTTCCAAGAATTCTTGGAGATATTGCACCTACCCATAGTCACATGAAATATGAAATTTTAAATTTACCTGTTCTGCTGCTCGACCACCAAGGGTCATGCACGTCATATCAAAAAGCTGCTGCTTTGTCATGAGAAGGTTTTCATTTGGAACGTACTGGGCAAATCCAAGTGCCGCTGTACCCCGAGGTACAATTGTCACTTTCAAGAGGGGTTCAGCATGTTCCAAGAACCAGCCTGCTACAGCATGACCTGATTCATGATAAGCAACAGTCTTCCGTTCGAGTTTACTTATTACCTGCTTGAAACCCAGAAGAATCTGGTTATTAGGGTCAATAGAAAAAGAAAAAGGAGAGATAAAATAATAACATAAAGTTATTCATCACCTCCCTGGACAGAACATGCAATGCAATAGTCACCATCTCATATTAATGACTGATAAAAAGGTAATGTTTAACTGAAAGAAGTCACAGGTTGTATTCCCAATAGTCACCATCTCATATTAATGACTGATAAAAAGGTAATGTTTAACTGAAAGAAGTCACAGGTTGTATTCCCACTATAAAGGAACAAAACTGAACATGAAGAAGACTTTATTTCAATCTTCTCAAGGATAATAGATATCTTACTGCCATCAATAGAAAAACAACTACACAAGCACAGAAAAGCAACACTTAAAACAATCACATAGACGAGAGATAATTACCCTGTTCTTTTTCTCCAGACCACCGATGATCCTGTCTATAGCAGCCTCAAAATGTTCCATTGTAACCTGTGCCCCTTCACTCCTTGCAGCAATTAGAGCAGCTTCATTACAAACATTTGCAATGTCTGCTCCAGCAAAGCCAGGAGTGAGAGCTGCAAGTCTTTGAGAGTAATGTGACGGCTCATAATCAAGCTTTATCTTTCTCAAGTAGATCTGAAATATCTGTTCACGGCCTTTAATATCAGGTTTATCTATTGAAATCTGACGATCAAATCGCCCTGGCCTCAATAGAGCTTTGTCTAAAATATCAGGCCTATTAGTACCAGCCAGCACAACTACTCCTGAAGTGGTTCCAAATCCATCCATTTCAACTAGCAATTGATTAAGCGTACTTTCACGCTCATCATTAGAACCTGAGAAACCTCCACGGCCTCTTGCTCGACCAATTGCATCAATCTCATCAATAAATATTATACTAGGAGCACACTGCCTTGCTTCATGGAATAAGTTCCTCACTCTGGATGGTCCGACACCAACAAACATCTCCATGAAATCAGAACCTGATATTGATAGAAAAGGCACACCTGACTCACCAGCAGTTGCTTTGGCTAGGAGGGTCTTTCCTGTACCTGGAGGACCCACCAAAAGAGCACCTTTTGGAATTTTAGCTCCTAGTTCCTCATATTTCTTCGGGTTCTTAAGAAAGTGCACAAACTCCATGATCTCTTGTTTTGCCTCATCACAGCCAGCAACATCTTTGAAATAGACCTGGATTGACCAGAAACAGAAAAGAGAGGAAAATAACACCTGAGTACCTTCACATATTCTAGAAACACCAAGCAAAAGCAGGTCCATAAGTTTAGGTAATAAAAGATAAATAAAACATGAAATTTTCCAATTCAGGTTTTTCTTTTTAAGCACCAATATAAGATACAGACCACTAACCTTATTCTTGGAATTTTTATCCACTTTGGTTACATGGGCTTTTCCTATGTTGAAAATTCCACGGACACCCTTACCACCACCACCGCCAACACCCAATCCACCTTGCATTCTCCGGCCCATATATATGAGGGTTCCAAGAAGTAATAATGTTGGTGCAAACCTCATTAACTCCTGGTACCAATTCATAGCAGAAGCATATGTCACAGGAACATAATCATGTGGATCAATCCCTAATGCTTTTTGGGCTTCTTCCAACTTATCCTCAAAAAACTCAACACTTCCAATAGTGAAGAAGTATTTGTATTCACCTCCATGTCCACTGACAGAAGTAACATTAGCAGGATCTTGGACAACATCGTCATTTGTTTGATTGTGTGGTGTGCTCCTCACATACACTTTTGCAACTGACTTATTAGAAACAACTATATGGTCAACTAAACCTGGTTCCAGAAGCTTGTTTCTGAACTCTTGGAAACTAATCTGTAAGAAAGAGTTCCACAGCATAGGAACAAAAGCTTAGAAAATATACTTTGATTATATTTAAATATGAAACTAATGTGGAAGAATGTATAAATTTTCCAAACTGGCCAGTGATTATATATACTACGTAGCATGGTTAAGTCAGAATGGTCCATTTAAAGGTTCTTAAGGTAACAATCATACAAAGGACATGTCATGCAAGAATGAGAAGTCTACAATTGATCCACCAAAGATGGGTGCAAACCAATCAAGCCTTCAGTTCCACTTTTATAAAAGTTGAACACAGCTCCAGTACAGGCATGATGAATTTACAGCCGCTCAAGTAGTTGTAAAGACTATACACAAACAAGTAGCTTTACCACAAATAGGTTAGAAAAGGAGTTATCTTTCCTAACAAAGCTTTTCAATTGCTTTAGAAATGCAATAAAAAAAAAAAAAAAATCAGTCATATGATGCAGCTTACATAAGTTGAATGAGTTCAGTCGGATAAGCTCAACCATAAACTTGAAAAGGTTCCTAATCCCTATCCCAGTATTGAGTTAACTCATGTAGGAGACGTTCAACTCAGCCTTGAGTAGCTACAAACTTTTATTCACCTAATACCCAATTCCAAATCCAGAATTCAAAATCAAATATAGATGGACAAGATTCAAAATAAGATTTCAATAAAATGAATTCATTAATCACCTGTAAAGAGGAGGAAAATGCTTAAAAGCAGCCAAAACGTTATATAGCAAATACAAAGAAAACAATGAAGCTTTTTACCATATGCATATAACAGTTGGATATATGACTCAATATTCTATTACAATCATTTTTTTTTCTAACCTCAAAATATAAAGGTTCTTATAGCGTTAGAAAGATCAGCATAGCATCAAAGTAAAAATTAACCAACTTTAATCTGCAGGGAATCAACAAGCTGAAATAATTTGGGGACAGCTTACTTGTTGCTGCTCGACAGTCCAGGGAGACATAGAGAGAAGCAATGCAAGTACTAACAAAGGGATAATCAAATTTTGAAAAGTCTTCAGGAAAGTGTCCTGAAAATTCCATTTATCATCTGTGTTGGAATCCTCTGAAATTGGGGGAAATTTACAAAACTGTTAGAAGTTCATTATAAGCTATCTTGCAGGCAATCATAGACGATACTCATATACAGAGAAATAGCAAAAAATAAAAAAGGGTAATCCGACTGTTATACTTCAATAAGCAACCTCAACAAGGTAAAAACCTGCAGGGCAAAGAGAATCATCCTAGAAGAGATCATTTCAAAATTCTATATTACAGCTTCTGACATCACACGATTGTAAAAGGGAAAGACCACATAGAAAACTAAAGTTTTGAAGACAATTCTACAATCACCTATGGCTTTTAAGAAAATGGCACCACAGTTCACGTTCCACAATCCTAAGTTTTGCTACCGGAATATATATCATCCTAAGTGTTGCTACCATATATATATCAATGACATTTTTTTCTCTTTGAAAAGAATTTAAAACCGGTATATCTTTGCAACAACTTCACAACTTAATTTTTCCAGTCCAACATTGAAAAACTGAATGGAAAATTAGATTTATAAAATGAAAATAGAGGGCGAGGGGGATATGTACGCACCTTTGGAGTCAGATTTTTGGTCATTTTGCTTTGGAATTTCCTTCTTTTCCTTAGGGTAAAAATTCTCATAATCTGCAAATAACCATCAAAAGACAAGAACAAACAGTAAAAACTAGAAGTCCAAAGCAATGCAAATATCCAAAATGCTAAACCCTATTTCTTCATTAACTCATCAATCTTTACTATGCTAAATCAATGTAAAAAGCCCCAAAATGCAAAACCGTAAATTTGCTTAGCACTTAAAATTTATTCCATTCACTCACCTCATATTATTTAAAAAAAAAATCAATTTTTTAATAAAAACTAACAAATGTAAACCCATTAACACTTATTAACCAATTAATTACCCAGAAAATTGAAAATAAATAAAAAAAAGTGATATTTGGCTTACTCCTCTTCTTTGGAGTTTCACTTGAGAAAAAGCGACGGATTCTAGGGTTAGCAAGAACGATATTTAAATCTGACAAATAGGTCTTCGAAGTAAACTCCTTTCCAGCTCCTATTGAAGTTAAATAACCTCTCAAAAACCTTAAATCCCCAATTAGTCCATCTACGTTTCCGGTCGAACGTGGCAAGCTTGGCGACCTCCCTCCGGTACAGCCACCCCCACCGCCACGACACAACAAATTCTATTTAAAAAAGTAAAAAAACAGTTAATCTTGAAAGATAAGAAATTGAAATGAGAAAATCCATTAGGAAAAAGAAAAACTTACTCTTGAATGAGAAGAACGGGAATATGATCGGCCTAGCTTAAAAAAAATCATATTTTTTATGATTTAAGGAACAAAAATCAAAGTCTTTTTTATGGTAAAATAAATCAGATTATTATTTAAAAAATTATTAAAAAAAAAAAACACAGAATTTAAGCAAAGAAACAATCTACTAAATAACGTTATTAGGGTTTTGGTGGGATTTTAAGCTGGTAAAAAAAAAGGGTTAGTCCTTTTTAAATGTTGGGAAAGGAAGATGATATATATTGGGAATGTTTGGGCTGATCTATATTGGGAAATTTGATTGGTGTGGTTAGATTTTCTTGGGAGACAAGACACCAACAAATAGCCAGCAAAACTGGCCGTGGCAATTCAGGTTTTAGACTCTGACAGTTGAAACATAAAATTTATGTCTATATATGGCAACTTTAATGTTATTACCTTTTTGGTACTTTTTTTTTTTTGTCTAATTTAGTTGAAAAGTCTTACATACTAACAAAGCTTTAATTGACCTTTTTTTTCATTTGATTATTTTTTTTTTCGCCAAATTGTTTGATTAGTTCAAAATAAGTACTAATTCAATCTAAATAAGAATTAATTTTAAAAAAAAAACTACAATCTGAAAAAAAAAAAAACAAATGATGAAATTTTAAACTATAAATTTGTTTGATACTATGTTTTAATAATGATTAAATAAACAAATTAAACTAAAGATTCATATCAAGTTTTTTTACATGAAAATCATAATTTAAGAAAATAAAAAAATTATAAATATTGAAATTAAATATTACATTTCAAAAATGATTATATAAATTAATTGAATTAAATTTAAACTCCTTAAAAACTAATTTAAAAATTCAATTTTTATGAAAAAAAGTTTATGTATATAGAAAAACATTTTTATATTTAGATTAGTATCCCTTTATGTGAAATTAACTGTAGCTTTTTTATACTTTAAAAAAGAAAAAAAAATTCAAATACAATTGAAAATTTGACATAATTATCAATTGACCACTTTAAAAGCTAAAATTGTGAAAAAATAAAAAAGGAATATTCAATACTAAATATTACTAATAAATCTTTCTTGGATAAATTATTAATATTTATGTTGACTGATCTTTGAATCAGTTACCATAATATTTGACATATGAAGATTGTAAATTCGAAAAAATTTATGTGCATAATATCATTTTCATCTAAATAAATTTAAGGATGAAAAATTTAGGGATAGATTAAAATTTAAAAAATAAAATAAAATTATCAAATATTTATAGTTGCTCAAATTTATTTGATATACCAAGGAGAACAAATTGGGCCATTCTGAAGAGTTATGGGCCTATTTTCTTAAAATTTTAAAAATAAAATAAAATTATCAAATATTTATAATAGCTCAAATTTATTTGGTATACCAAGGAGCACAAATTGAGCCATTATGAAGAGTTATGGGCCTATTTTCTCCCAAGTTAGTAATTGGGCCGAGAATCCATCTTGCCGGCTACCAATCTGCGAATTATCCATGGGTTCAGAAGCTTAATGAAAATGGATTTCCCCATTTTAAAATTGAAGAAAACAACAAATGTTTTACCGTAGATTTCCGTAATAATTTTGCAGCTTTCTTGTTCAAAACAATCCATGGAAAGTGTCTCGGTGCTGCTGCACTCAAGAACAACCCTCTTCGGCTTCAGTTTGAAAGGCAACCAAATAGTTTCTTGCGGGCATTTCAACAAACGTTTCCAAAGCAAGGGTTTTTATTCTCAACAGAGCCTCAAAGCCGTCCAAAACCCGTCCAGTTTCATTCTTTCACCATTACCACTTAAGAAAACAAGAACCCACTTTTTGTCTACACTCACATGCTCATTTTCCAACGCTCATAGCTCAGATTCTTAAAACCCATTTCCTAAACCCTTCAAAAACCTCTCTTTTGACTCACTCAAAACAAGTCTTTCTGAGTTAACGCCTATAAAAATTGTCAAATGGGCTGGTATAGTTTCCATTGCAATTGCAGTTACTAAATGGACTGCAAATTTGGTCTTCAACCCTTTCTTTTGGATGTATTCTAGCTGGAGTTGGGTGTTCTGGCCATGGTTTGTGGCTATAGCCCTTGCTTTTTATGGTTTATATTGTTTTCGAAAGCATTCGATTGGTGAAGCCAGCATTGTAGAGCAACTTGCTATTGTTACTTCATTGTTCACTTGGCTAACTTTAGTACCGCCGGCTTATTTCAATGGCTATCTTGAAGGTTGGCCCTTTATCCTCTTCTTTGTATACCATTATTTCTTTTTCTTCAATGTTAGTGTAAGAAAACGACTGTATGGAGATTATTATGCTCGTCCACATGACCCAAAGTGGGATGTGAACCCACCCAAATGGTATCGCCTTTTGTTCTCTGTTGGGGTCATGGTTGGGCACTGGCTTGCTGCATTTGAAGCGCCGGCGCTGCATCAAATCCCAGGAGGTTGGAGCAATGTTGGAGTTTGGATATTGATTGTGGCAGCTTTGTTGATGCAATATAATTCAACGTTGTATCTAGCAAAGTATTCAGAGAAGGTAGTAGTGCCAACTGTTGTTGTACAATTTGGCCCATACAGATGGGTTCGACATCCAATATATGCATCAACTATGCTTTTGTTTGCAACTTATTGTATTGCACTGAGAGCACCTATTAGCTCGCTGTTTGTTTTGGCAGTTTGTTTGATGTATTATGAGCAGAAAGCAAAATTGGAGGAGGTTTTAATGGTAGAGACTTTTGGAGAGGATTATTCAGTGTATGCGAGTAAAGTTAGGTACAAATTCATACCTTTCCTGTACTAGCGGCAAACAGGTTTTGCAGTTGTTAATTATGCAGTGTAATGAAATTGTTTAGACTATTTGAGCTTTGGAATTAGGAAAGTGCTAGACGGTGCTTTTTACTGAAATCTTGTGTCATTTTTTCATTGATTTTCATATTGCTTGAAGCTCTCTTTGTTCATTGAATCATATGCGTTTTTTTAACTTAAGTCTTGAATAAATTGATTGTTCATATTGATTACGATCATTGCTGGAAAATGCTTCCTCACTTTTGCCAAGGTTGCCAGCTCTCTGATTCAATATTCATTCTGGAGAAATCTGATTGGGCCTCATGACCTTAATATCTTATTTCTATCTAAAATTTTCAATGAATTTTGGTAGTCTTTGTAAGTTCATTATGTGGAATTAAGTTGTGCACACTGAAGTGATCTCTAGATTGGTGCTTAAGAAGGAAGCCATCACCACACATGTATATCCCTAACCAAGGATTTGGGCTATGGCTGGGTCCTGTGGATGTAGGAATTAGAGCAATGCACATGTTTGATTGGGCTTATTCATATTTTAGGAAGAGTAGGGAATGATCATTGGAGGATATCTAAACCCACTGTCCGTTTAGGCATAGAACTAGAGGAGCTAAACTTTACAACTTTATAATTACAGGAACATGATCTACTTTCCTATTATTAAAGTGACAAGTTTAAAATTACTGAAAGGTGCTTTAATTTATGAAGCATTGAAGTATTGACAGATACGGCCTAAGCTATCACTACCCTACCACAATTTTGAACAATGAACACAACTGGAATAAAGATGCTATCATTGATAAGTGGCAACTAGAAACACACGGAAAGATCAAAATAACAATGATGATATTCTTGTGAGGTAAAGGTACCACTAAGGTAGGATAGGTTCACATTAAGTTGTTTGCTTTGTATCACTGCTAATTCATATGAGTTACTTACTTTTCTTTCTGCTTGCTTATGGCCGTAAAGATCCATAAAAGTAATTATATTGAGATATGAAATCAGACTGTATACAAATGTAGCCTCCTGAATGTTACACTATGGGTAGTGGAATGATTAGATGTGTACTTTTAGTGCCTGGGTCTAGGATGTCTCTGTGTATAAGTGCTGGGTATTAGTGCTGTGATAACAGTAAAGGAAAACTACATTCTACAAGTTCAAGTTCAACTAATATGCACTCATCCCCAAATATCATCAATTTAGATCCGTCTTTTCCTTTCCAGTTTATGAACACAAGGAAAAAAGTTTCTAACCACAGTGAAATTCGAAATAAATTTGATCTTTCTATGTTTGACAATGGGCAATGATGCTGCCTTTCCATGAATGTTGACTAGATTGGCATTGGTTTGCTCTTCTTGCCTTGCAAGAACATTGTTTTCAGATCATGTTTGAAGTCAAGTAAGAGCTTTAAACTTAACCCATCTTTATCTTTCCATAGAAATAAGCAAATTAATGCATATAGGGTAAACAAAAATGGTGAAAAAGCTATTCCTTTGTAATCCTCAAATGACCAAACCAGGCCATTTTTGCATCAAAGTGAGATGTGGTTGCCTTTTGTTAAACAGAAACTATTAAAGGCAAAGAATTGCATTGTGAACTAACTTTGCTTAGATCCCCCTCTATGTTAGCAACCAGTGACCAACATTCCAATGATTGATGAGGTCTGCAGACTGACACTTTGGGACTCAATATCCAGACATAGAAAAAGCTCAGAAAATGTGCAAGCCACCTCATACTAGCATGCTAGCCAACTCATCAAGATGTGAAATACATCAGCTTATCCCTGTTTTGCGCCACATATTTTCCCACATACATAGGCAAACACAAGATCATTGCAATAATTTCTACTTTATAGATACTTAAGAGGTTCTTTCTTCTGCAAATGATCAAGCCAACCCACTTTCTTTTGTGTCCTTTCATGTTTTTTGCATTTCATGCTCTTGAAGATAATAGTAATTGGTCCTCTTTTGGCTTCTTATCTCTATCAAAATTTTCAGATAGGGATTCCTAGGTTCTCTTTCTTCTTGGTTTTCTTGTCCTTAATATCTTTTGAGAGTTTGTAAATTGCAGCCTGGCATAATGTGCTGAATGTGCTTTGCCTTGTAAAATAGGTTTGTTGCAGTTCTGCTTTGAATGGATTCTTAAACTTCATTTGCATGCGTTTACCACATTTTACAAATGAAAATCGAGTTTCTGCGGTAACATTCTGATTTAAGTGAAAGAGAAGTCAGTGGTGGTTGAGATGTTGATGTGATTTTTACAAGTTCCTATTAGTAGGTGTCATTTTATGCTGCAGATGTTGACCACCATTCTGGTTATTGTGGGAAGAAGATTTTGTTCTATTATCTGTATCTTAGCTACATGAATATGAGTTCTACATAATGACTATGATTTGCTAAAACTTCGGAAGGGCTCAAATGATAAGCATTTTCGAGGGTACCCCTCTGCCTCTGTATTTTATTTCAACCCTTTTAGGGGGTGTTCAAAATGTTGTTTGAGTTTAATACTCTATTATATAGTAGCCAAATCCGCAGATAGATTAAAATATGTTCCATTTGTATTTTATTGATGGGGGACCTGTCCCTCAGATGGAGGGCTTTCAGATCTGCTCATATCTGTTGCAATTAGCCCTGATGGTGGTGGAACTATAAACCATACTGGTCCTCTTAAGTACTTTAAGAATCCTAACCTAAGTTGGGACTGGCTACAATCCTTGTTCATTCTTCCTTTATAGAGATGATAACAAATATGAATGCTTGAACCAGCAATTGAGATGAGACTAACACCATGTTTGCAGGGCAGAGAAAACTGCTTGAAGGATCAACCACTAGTTACTAGTGGACAATAGGATAGTCAAAACTCAAGACAGATGATATCGACCTCAAGAGTATTAGTTAAGAATATCAGCTTCTGTTTTCATTTCACGTTTTGATGGGACAAATTTTGCAAATGAGGAACTTGTTAACTATAAACATGCTGTAGATGAAGAAATTTGTTAAAAGTCATGGTTAGTGCCTTGTAATGAAAGATCACGCAACCTGATAAGGAAGAACTGGACCATGTTGAATAACCTTTCAAAATCTCATTTCGTTTCCAAGTTTCACCTTGCAATTTTCCTCAGCACACAACTCCGAATGGACAGGTTCAGTGACCCACGTATAATACAAAACTCGTGCTGAAACGCTGCCTGACGTGGGATCCTGGCGTGCACTACGCTTTACTGCCACGTGATAGGCAGCCTGATTCTTGATGGTAACTTTCTATGGGCCAAAACCTTCTTTGGGCTCTTTATGCACCAGGCAAAGAAGAGAATGATGGAGAAAAAAAATCTGGGGAATATGATAGCTACTTTATCCGCATTCCAAACCACACAGATTTGATCCTCAAAAACAAACTTGCTTTCAAACGCACAAATGCAAATACAGTTTTTTTTTTCCCTTGTATTTTGCTTATTGTTTTTGTTTTTATACACAATACATTTGCTTTACCCTGAACAAACCCTACCTCAAGAAAGCTTTTAAGCTATTAGAAAAGATTCACAAAGACAAATTTAACAACCAAAAAGGAGGGAAAACAAGAAAGAAAGAAAGAAGAAAAGCTTAATGGGTTTAGCTTGCTTTTGGCCCCGGTGAACAAAGTTTCAATCATCATTGAGTCCAAATCCAGAAATCCTATTGTTCATGCTGCCTTTATTTTTATCGGGGTGACCTTTACAGGTAAGCCCCGTTTTGGCACAGGAAAGGGACCATACTGGATTCCATCCTCATCTCCTACAACTTGCCACCTGCAGCCAAACATTGGAAGGTTTTAAGAGTAGCAAAATTTCCAATGAAAATGGCATGAAGGTCTCTTTATTTGTCAAAAGAAAAGATATTCAAAGCAAAATTGATGGGAACATTTCTTGAACTTCAAACTTGCTAACTATTGACATTTATCCCCATGCAGATTTCAGTGAAAACTGATTTATAATTCAAGTTTAGCAGATAATAATCATTTGAAAATAAACATGTAATGGACATGTCATGAATGCAACTTTGATTAGTCACTCACAACTCTGACATTTTGCATTCGGAGCAAAGTTATGAACAACTGAGCCACCAGCCTGGACACTGTGGGCCAGGTCAAATGCTGTGAATAATCTTAAAAGATGACAAATTACTAAGCAATGATGTGGCGTAAAACTTGCAGAGCAAAGCTGTGGTTTCAAATGAGAGCGCTGCCTGCCCCTTCATCAATGACACATCATCACATTCTGCCTCTGTGTACTGTTCCTAATAGCATAAAGACCTAGATGCCTTATAGCCATTTAATGGAGACTTCACAGCTGGCTAAATCCGTCAGCTTGCTAGGAGGAAAGTGGAGGTGTAATTTGGTTGCATGGAAGGGTCAGAATCAGAACATTAACTTCAATATGCCTGTTTTTCATTTGTTCATCAGATTACAGATACGAGGAAGGACGAACAGGAATCACTGATTTTGAATCCCTGATGTAGACTGCCTATAGTAGTTTTTGGAAGGACAATTTTTAAAATCTATGTCTCAAAGACATGGACGAGTCCCATTCTAGCTTGTAATAGTTCATGATTAATACAGGGTCCCACTCTTGTACACCAGATTGTCGACAAAGGAAATTTGTTTTGTCATTCTAGTTCTCAGTATCTGCATTAAACTTTCTAGAATTCTAAAACTAGTAGATGTGTCTATCAGACTATCACAATTATCCAATCCAAATTGTTTGCATACATGGCCTAAGTATGACACATAGACAACCGAAATTGGATAATCACAATGTCTAAACAGTTTTTCAAAGGTTTGGTATTGTCTTTCATGGAGAAGGGTCAGAGAATACTGAGCATGGAAGCCACGTGTAAGGATAGATGCAATGGAAGGATAAATTTATCGTTGTCCAGAACCTCTGAAAATACCCACCACTGATTTAGAATCCATTTGAGAATTCAATTGAAAATGTTTTCAGTGCATGAAAGGGCACGTTTTATAGCTGAATCCTTAATTATGTTCCATCCCAAGCTGAAAAATTGAAAAAGTTGAAGCTTTTGATGCCCCAAAAGGACTAAGCCAAATTGCCATGAATGGCAGTGTCAGTACTAATTAGGACCACTTCCGCAGCCTAAGGAACGCCTAGAGGACCACTTTCAGTAAGTACCCATTTAGTCAACTACGAGCAGACAAAAAAACTTTAAACAAAATCTTTTTTTTACCAATGTACGTGGCTTTATTTTTATCTTGCGTTTTCAAAACAAAATGAATGATTATTGAAATATACCAAAATTAATGCATGTTAAGTCTTTACATACATGCACTACAATTGATTTTGAACAACAAGACAGGAGAAGAGGGAATTACCTGTAGCTGGTGGTGAGATGGTGGAGGAGCACCAACATCTCAAGCTTAGCCAGTTCACTGCCTGGACAAGAGTGAACTCCATTGCCAAATGGCATAAACGTGTTGGGTCTTGGTGGAACCTGCAACACACAAAAACAACATTAATATAGGATAAAAGTAATAAATTCTTCATTATTGTCTTTTTTTTTTTCCTTTCTCCTTACTGAATATCCTACACCCAAAAGGACTAAGCTAAAATTTTGCTAAAATCTCTTTTGATACTTCCAAAGAAAGTTCAGACTCAAACTGCACTGTTACTACCCTACAAAATCAGCTCACGTGGTCTGATACTTGAAAAGTTTCATCAACAGATCGGTTTGAGTAGAGGGAAGATTCACAGTAAACAAATGAAAAAGAGACCAGCATCAGATAAACCATTGATAACCTTATATTTCTGTCAAAACTGGATGGTCCATGACGCACTTCAAGAATCTTGACCAGTGACTCCAAATATATCGTTACTATACATATATATGTATATAGACTTGCGAACTTGTACTATACTATTAACAATCTTATATGATTCGCCAAGATCCAAAAAGTTAATCGATCCATTTATATATTAATAATATATCTATATGTGATAAAGTAGTGCAAGGCCTCACCTCGAATCTTGAAGGGTCAAATTTTTCGGGTTGAGGGAAGAAATCTGCACAATGATGAATGGTTCTGAAGAGAGGAAGAACCTTCCAACCTTTGGGGATATAATAGCCTTCAAACTCAACATCTTGCACTGCTTCTCTGAACGTAAATGAGAGTATACTTGCTGTTCTTAATGTCTCCTGAATCACCTGAAATCCACTTTATATTTAAGATCTCTGCATTAAAATATATATTCCTATGTGTTTTTTTGTTGAAAAAAAAATAATTGTCTGGTACTGTAATTGTTAACATATTAACAGTAAAAGAGAAGAGAATGAAACTTGTCAAATTGATAAGGTACCCTGGTAGTAAATGGCATGTGCCTTGTATCATCCCACGTAAGCCTGCGATTTGCTTCAATTATTTTGCGTTGAATACCTTCTTGTTCTCTCTGAAAAATATGATTGAGAATCAATAAAATATAGGATAAAGAACAGGATTTGATTGTCTTCTTTTTTAAAATCTTTTGGTAGTGAAACGAAACCAAAAGCTCCTCAGTCAAGATCATCAAGGAGAGGGAAAATTTACTGTGACAGCTTCTAGTAAATCTCCATTGTCATGCAAGTACTTTAAAACCCATGTTAAGACGCTTGCAGTGGTGTCATGAGCAGCAAAGATCACTCCAATTATATTATCAGCAATCTGAGAATCAGTCAGTTGTTCAACCTTCTGGTTTTTGTCCCCCAACATAACTCCCAGCAATCCTCCTCCTTGTTTCTCATTTTGTCTTCTATCTTGTATCAATCTTCTCAGAGTCTCATTCAGGAGCTTCCTGGCCTTTTTTAAAACAGACAAGATGAACTCATTATTGTGAAGAAGTGTCAAACCTGAATGACTCTCAGGGAAGAAGAATGAAATTAAATACCTTCATTGCTTTATGGAAAGGGGTTCCTGGAAGATCTAGAGGCATAGAATTGTAACCCTTCTCCAGGCATTGATAGAGTTGCTTGATTCCTTTCATTTCCGAGTCTTGTTTGTGGCCGAAGGCAGAAATCATTGCCACATCAAAAGCATACTAAACATGCCAAAAATAAGAACAAAAACTTTCTTTAAGATTCTCGATTGATGTGCAGAGACTAGTCATCATGCAGTAAAAGATAAAAATAGTTGTTATAACAACCGACATACTCTCTTCATTTCTTGCAAAGTGTTAATAGTTGTATTCTCCCAAGTTGGTAGAAATTTCAAAACAATCTGCTCAATCTCTGAAACTGACCCTCTAATTGCAGAGGGTAAAAAATTGGCCTGGACCAACTTCTTAAGCCTGGAATGGTAGGCACCTTGATGAAAGAATATAGCCTCAGGTCCTATCATCTTCTCTTTGCTTGGTGGATAAGTAGGCTTAAAAAGATGAGCTTGTGTCACCAGAACAATCCTTGCTGCCTCAGGGCTTGAAATCATTACACAGGGGCATCCCAATATGTGAGTTTTGAATATATCTCCATACCTGTAATAAATAAAGAATCAAGAACAACAAAATTGGCTAAACTGATAAAAGAAATTTAGACAAAATGAAGCAAAGGAAATTGAAATTCTTTCTTTCTGTATTTGTTTTCAACACACAGTATGAGAATATTAGTTAAAATTTCTATCATTTGCTTGTCTCAATCTCTAGCTAGCTTTTCAGGACCAGCTGTTTCATTTCACATTTGTTTTTATGTATACCTTTTTTGCCGGTTGGCAAAGAAAGAATTGGGATTCTCAGTGTAAAGCTTGAGAGTCTCTCCAATATAAGGCCAACCCATGGAACCAGGTGGCAGACGTTTGTCTTCAGGGTGTCGCCATTGGTGGATAGGCAACAATAGCATCACCACCAACAACAAGAAAAAAGAAAAGAACAGAACTGGTGTAGTCAGAAAGGGAACCTGACAATCATGGACAGTTGCAAGAAAAGTCTGAGGTGGTGGTGGTGCTGGCAATGAGAAGAAAAGTAGTTGCATGGTGGCAGAAGTATGAAAGAGAATCAAAGAGAGAGCTGGCAGAGGCCAACTTGACTATGAATAGAGGAGGGGCAGGGGGGATGATGAGTAGGGGGAGAGCTGCTGGGATTTATATATCGTTGAAGGGGTGGGAGGGTCTTGCCTAGGTGGGGGCTTCTTTGACAGACGTCACCACATTTCTGGGAACACCCTTGCATTGGCTCTTTCATTTTATCTTTTGTTTTCTTTTTGTTTTCTTCCTCGGGGCTGTCCTACCTTATACTGTATTTTTCTGATCATGACCCTTCAGTTTATTCTTTGGGTGACCCTTTTTACAGGGGAGTCGGATAATCCTATAATTGAACAAATTTAGGAATGTAAATCTCAATAATAATATTTTTATTAAGTAAACTCCAAATGTATCAGTTGATTCAAAAATTCGTGCAAACCTAAAGAAAGATATTGGAAATAATAAATCATTTAATCCGCATAAAATTTTGCTTACGATGCTATAAGTAAAAATGTTTATAGGTATTAAGTTTTGACTAAACTCATATTTTGTATTAATAATTTATGTATTTGTTTAAATTCGATTTGATTCAAAATTTTGAATTTTAAATTTTTTTTAAATGTGGCTCAAATTAAAAAAATAAATCTCAATCCCACCTATTAATTTTAATTTATATAATAAAAAATTTAAAAAAAATTAAATTAAGTTTAATAAGATTATATTCAATTCACATATATATATATATATTAAAAATAAAAATTCTTATCAGATTTTTAAAAAAATAATACAATCACCTAAAAAAATATTAAATGTAATAAAATATTTTTATTTTTTAACTACTCACAAATAAATCTTATAATTTATATATTTATATTATATAAAATATTAATAATTCATATATTTATAATATATTTTATATAAAAATTATATATTATAATTCGTATTTATATGAAAATATAAAATATATTTTTAATTTTTATTAAATATATATAAATTTTATTAAAACTTTAAATTATATTATTTTAATATTTTTATTTATATTATTTTTATATCATATGTTAAATTATTAAATTCACTACGTAAATGAAATAAAAGAAACTTTAACAACGTGAAAAGCGTAGTTATTGAAAACCACGTAAAGCAACCCAAAAACCGTCACAGCTTGGCCCAAACCTAAGGCTAAGGGTTGGGCAAAATGAGAGAATAGCAGTTGAAGAGGCCGGAGCCGACGGGACTTGGGCCTGACACGTGTAACATCTTAGCTCAATGCAGGTTAATAGTATTTGATTCGATAAATTTGATTAATTTTGAATTAAATTATTTTATTTTATTTTTGTTAATCCAATTGAATTTATGAATTTTAAAAATTAATTAAATAATAAATATATTTATATTAAATTATATGTTAAATTTTAAATTTTTATATTTTAAATAAATTAATAACATTATTTAATAAAATATTTAAATATTTAAATATTATGTTAAAAATTCTAACAAATTATAAAATTAAGTGATTTATTTCATATATTTTTTATTTTATATTTGAATTATGTTATATTTTATTAAAATTTTAGTTAATTTAATTTTTTATTTTTAAATCGAATTAATCAAAAATTAATTTTTTTTCAAATTATTTTATTAATCAATTAAAATTAATTCAATAACTAACCATTGATTTAAACTAATTTGATCGATTAATTTCATTAAATTTGAATTATCACCCTGTGCTATATGCACTCTGAGTCCCACTCTCCAAGTCCGTGGTTTGTCAGGCAAGTTAAAGAAAGTTTCAAGGCCCCACTTCTTGGACAGAATCTCTCTTCAATTTTGTTATTTGAAGCAATTAGGCAAAGTTTAGAAAACATATAGAAAGAACGTATATAGTCTAATTTTTTTACATGTTCTTAAATTAATTTATTTAATTAAATTTTATTGAATTAATTATATTTATTTTTAAAATATATGATAATTTTACCTACTATGTGGCTTTGTTTATATTTTAATTTAAATGTTCGTAATGAAATTATATTTTTGAAAGTTTCATGCTCAATACCAAAATATTTTTGGTTTGTTCTTATTAGTTTAAATTTTCTATTATTGTTATTATTTTTCCTTTTAGAGTATAAAAAGTTTTTTAAAGTTTTTTCTTATAGTTAAGCTTTTAAAACTTAACATGTCATTGATTAAAATATCAATAATAATTTATATTTGACAACAAAATATTTTTTCTTAAATACAAAATAATAATGAAAATTTAATTAATTAAAAAAATTTTATGAAAGAATGCAAATCCCATGCATAGCACTGATCAAAAGCTAGTTTCCACTAAAATCCAAAGATTTAATACAAATTTAATTATTTTAAATAAAATATGAAAATAATATAAAAAATGAGTTAGCATTTTATACATTATTAGTAAATTTTTTCATTTAACACATGTTTCATTTTTTTATTATTATTTTTTAAATATCCAAAGAGATATGTGAATTCTTTTTAATTTCGTTTGTGAAATTTAAAAATTATATTGTTAATATATTTAATAATTTTTTTAAAATAATATATAAAAGTGATATAAATTCTTTTAACAAAAATTGAAGAATGTATTTTGTTTAATATATTAACACAGATTATAATATACTTTCATATTTTATATATATTTAATATAAAATAAATATACAAATATACACAAAATTATCGCACCTAATTTTAAGCTTTCTTTTTTTCCCAAACTTTGCCCCAAGAAAAATTTTTAAGGTATTAGATTTTGGTACCATAAACTTTTGGAATATAGGTGTGACACATACGCATGGCTGGTGGTGTTTGAAAAGGCTTCAGTGGCACGAAATGGGTGGCTGCATCTGCTTGCTGCTTGGGGATATTGGTCTTAGCAGCTGCCAAGTTTTTCAAGTGGTGCCTGAAACTGAAACTCCTTCACAAACTTCAGTCTGAATTTAACTTTGTTTGTAGAAGCTATCACGTTTTTCAAGTGGTGGGAAATTGGCATGGGAGTATTCTTCCAAGGTTTTCAAGACATGAAAGTGTGGCTTTCTTTGAGTGTTTTTTTTTTTTTAAATTTTTGAAGTATTGATTGAAAATTTAATTTAAATTTAATATCTAATTTTAATTCGAATCAAATAAAAAATTTAATTCAAATCAAATATTATGATTTTGAATTTTTTATTTTTTTATTTTTTTTTTCATTCTTAACTTGATACGACAAAAGTTGATCACCAAAATTATTATTTTTAAGAATTTTTTTAATATTCAAATTCATCTAATTTTAAAGATAAATGAAAAAAATAAATTTAATATTTTATTAACATATCACATAGTCATAATCATAAATGTTGACATTATCAATTACTTATATATCTCACGATATTTCATATTGAAATTATTCTCAATGTGTGTATTCATTGTCGTATTCAAAACATTAATGGTACGAAAAAGGACAATACTGACTTACGTCCAAATTACGAATGCAAGAAAATTAATTTTGAAAGGGCCATGACTCATCATGACCAATGTTTTTGCAATAATATAAAGTACCTTAAAAACGTAGTAATTTACATCAATACACTAAAAGTTGCCATGAAATATATGTAAAATTAAAAGATAAATTCACATATAATATGATAACAATGAAAGATTCCAATTATCATTTCAGGAATTTTATAACGTGTATAAAAAAATTGAGAGAAAAGGAAAATAATATCATTAAGAAATGAAAAGCACGTGAGAGTAAGGGGCAGGGACAAAGGGTACCCCACACGCGCCTGGTGCCTGACCAACCACTTCACGTGGGTGCACCTGCCCTTGCTCTGCTTCCTCAAGCCAAGTGCTCTCGTCTATTAATTAAATTTGATAATTTTAAACGGATACAATAATTTAATATAAAAATAATAAATTTTAATAAAATTATATAATTAAATAAAATATATATCCAATTATATATATAAATATAAATTATAATACAATAATATTTAGATTATATATTTAATAAAAATAAATAAATAAATAAAAAGTAAATTCTAAAATCTATTTTTAATTCTGTTACTGCTGTATTAGCTCAATCTGGATTTTGGTACTTGCAGTAATTATGTTATCCTTTGTATTAGCTCAATCTAAAATATAATTATTTAATATTATTATTTATATAATTTATTCTTAGGGTTCTGCCCCTTGAAACTGCCGAAAAGGGGTTTACCACCTCATTCTAACCCCACGTCGATCTTATCACAAAGGTCGATATGATGATTGTAAAATTATGTTTATTAAAAATATAAAAACAAAAATATTTTTTAAAATTTTTTAATTTCAACGAAAATATGTTATTCTCATATAACATTACATGAATGTCATGTATTATTTACGTGTCATCAAAAAATATAATAAAAATTTTTATTAGATAATCTTATGATACTATAAATCAAATTTAAAAATTTTACATTTCTCGTATCAATAAAATTCAAGAATTATATATTCTCTTTCAATATTACTTTTTTTAAAAATCATTTTATTTCTCAAAATCTAAAAATTTACAAACTAAACGACTCCAAAAGCTAAAGCACCGTTGGAAGAAGTTTTGGGTGTACATCAATGGGATGTGAATTAATTATATTATAATTGTAACTTTTTAATTAAAAAAATATTAAAATATTATTTATATTCGTTTATCAAGTTTAATAAAAAAAATAAGAATAAATATTATTCACAAATTGTCCGTCAAATGCTTTATTTTTTATAAATCATTAAATGAACGAATTGAATATAAATAAATTTTGTTATATTCGTGATTTGTTCATTTAATTAATAAATATTTAAATATTATTCATAATTATTTATTAAACTTAATAAATAAATAAAAATTAAACCTATTTATAAATTATTCATCAAGCATTCTATTAATTTACATCCTTAATTAAAAGTTACTCCAATTCAATTTTCACGTGGAGATTTTGCATATTTTATAGATGCAATCCTATCTTTGTGTTTTAATTTATTGCAAGTATAAGCTTCCAAAATACAAATTAGAGACACAAGTGAACGGAGCTAGGGGCAAAGATATTTTGGCAAATAATTCTTAATACAATGCAGAT